ACACCTCAGCTGCTCTGATCACCTTTTCATTATGCTGGTGTCTGCTTACAAACCACTTCTGAGGCATAGCAGGCCAGTAACGAAACTGTCACGGCTGCCAAGGCGAGCCGTGTGGTGTTGGAGGGAGAAAGGACCCAAAATGCAGGCAGTAGATGATAATGCTAGTGATGTTTATTTACAAAGTGGCGTAGTGGCAAAACAGGCAATGAGGGATGACAAATAACTAAAGAAACCTAAACTGGGAAAACTAAATAACAAACCTGAGATGATACCAAACAGTGTGAGAGGCAGAGAGACGCAGACAAGGAAAAGGACACCGTGGAACACAGACGAACCAGCAACAGGCAGGAGAACACACAGGAGTCCAAAAACAACCAAAGGAACCCCCCCGAAGCACAGAGAGCAGATCCAAAACAGTTCGGGAGGCCGACCCGGAGGACGGCGGCACAGCAGTCCAGAGCAGTTCATCTCCGGAGGCCAGCCACGCGGAAGGCAGTGGTGACGGCGACACAAGTCCAGAGGCCGGCCGCGCGGAAGGCAGCGGCAGCGTTCAGGAGGTCGTCCACAGTGGCGATGATGCCCAACATGCGGCCTGGCAGATGACCGACGATGGTGAGGCAGCAGTTGGGGACCTGAAGGCGGCGTGGCCTCCGCAGCACCAGGCGAGGCAGAAGCTGAAGCGGAGGCTGCTGCAGGCGAAGCGGAGGATGCTGCTGCTGCAGGCGAGGGTGAATGATGCTGATGCTGCAGGCGAGGATGATGGCCGGACGGGCTCCTCGGACCCCCCAGCAAAAACAGTCACAGAACCAATGCTAGTGATGTTTATTAACAAAGTGGCGTAGTGGCAAAACAGGCAATGAGGGATGACAAATAACTAAAGAAACCTAAACTGGGAAAAAATGTCCACCACCTTACACTCGGTCATCACTCATCTGGACCTGAAAGATACCTTCGCCAGACTCCTGTACATTGGGTTTAGCTCATGATTTCACAGAGACTAATAGAGAAACTCTCCTTACTTGGCCTGAACACCACCATATGTCTCTGGATCCTGGTCTTTCTGACTGAGAGACCTCAGTCTCTCCATGTTGGGAAAAACAACTCCAAGCCTATTACACTGAGCACTGGATCTTCTCAAGGCTGTGTTCTCAGCCCACTGTTGTTTACGCTGCTAACATACAACTGTGTATCTAGATATGAGGGTAACCTAATCATTAAGTTCGAATATGATACCGCAGTGGTGGGACTGTTTCGTGGAAATGATGAATCATTGCATTGAAAAAAAGTTGAACACCTTGAGGGCTGGTGTAGGGAGAACCATCGGGTGCTAAATGTAGCCGAAACATAAAAGGTGATCATCGACTTTCACAAGGTGTGGATCAAGCATGCTCCCCCCCTTCAGCATCAGTGGCCAATCAGTAGAGGGAGTGGAAGATGTCAGGTTCCTAGGTGTGGAGATCTTGCAAGGTCTGAACTAGCATCAGAAAATCTCAGTGATCCAAAACTCGGCCCAGCAAAGAAAGGAGTTTGAAACAAGTCCCTCTCCTCACCAGCATCCTCAGAATTTTTTTAAGTGGTGTGGTTGTCATAATGTGTGTCAACGTGGTATTCTAGCTGCAGTATGTCAGACAAAACATGACTGCAGAGAATAGTTGGAGCAGCCGAGAGTTTCCTTTCCTCTGTCCAAGACCTCTTCCAGAGATTCTGCAGGAATAGGCCACTAAACATAATAAAGGACCCCTCACACCGTATCCATAAATGTTCTTAACTGATGCCATCAGGCAAACGGTTCCACGTTAAAAGAGGCTGAACCTACAGACTGAACCTACAGACCAACCTACAGACTGAACCTACAGACTGAACCTACAGACTGAACCT